AACAAAATTTATCAATGAAGTTGAAGAACATAAATCATATTGGGTAATTTATAAAATTATTGCTCAAAAAAAAAAATAAAAAAATAATCCAATATTTAAGTAAAAGACTTTCTTTTGTATTCTCGTTATATTATTGTTTGTTTATTATTTTAATAAAAAAAGATATTTAAGGTTATAAATTTAAACCTGTGGTTTGGTTTGTTTGATTGATAAAATTATTAACGTTAAATTTTTTAAACGTTAAATTAAGAATTAATGAAAAGTCATGTCTTTGTTCAGTTTATTACAAAAACCTTGTAAATCTTGACCTAAGAAATACAAATAATTGCATAAAAAAATACGAACCTTTCTTATATATATTATGTATATTAGCTTTAGTTTTACAAACATATCATTTTCGTTTTTTAAGAATGGCATGTAAGGGTGCAAACATATTGACGAGTTGTAACCTATTGTTACGACATCTATATGACGTGAAAAGGTTGTAACCCTTGCAGCTAAATTCTGAATGGCCATATGCTGTATTTTGTGCCATATGCCGTATGTGTCATATGTTGTGCCGTATGTTATGCCATGTGCCATATGTTTGTGCCGTATGCAAACGTAAATGCTGCGTGCTGTACGTTGTGCCATATGCCATACGTTATGTCAATATTCTGTACGAAAATAATTAACACAAATTTTAATCACATCATATATAGAAAAAAACAATCTTATTAATTATCTGTATTATTATCATTATTTTCTAAAAAAGTATTTATTAATAATTCAGGATCATAGTCCAAATTATGAGAACTATTTATATTAGTATCATTTTCATTTACTTCATTATTATTATTAAAAAAATTAAAATCAATAATGTCTCCAATTATTAAGGTGTTTCTTGTCTGAATTGAATTATCATTTGAATTAACATTATTTAAATAATCATTTTCTGATTCTAAACTCATTAAAGTACCAACTGATGAATCATTTGCTACATTTCTTAATTTATTGCTAGTTGATGTTTTTTGTTTTTTTATAGGTGAACAAGGAGGTTGGGGAGGAGGACTTTTCATAAAAGATATGTTCATTATTCTCTGCATCAGAAATTACATTGATAATGGTGGTCAAATTTTGTACTTGTTCATTCATTGATAAAATAATGTTCAAATTAATTATCAATATTAATAGATGATGATGATGATATGATGATGATTCTTTTATTATTGGAGAAGTATATATATAATGAAAAAAACATTGAATGATTAATCATCAAAAACAATGTTTTTTATTATCTGAGTCATATAGACTTGGGATATTTTATTCTTAAAAAACCGGTTGATAAATTTTTTGATGTGACATAAGCTAGGGTTACGGCATTCGACACATGATACGGCATATGGAAAGTGACGCATTTCCGTGTTTATGCTCTACTAATGTCGTAACCCTCAAGTGTTCATATGCTTGCACCCTTATTGGCATGTATTTAAAAAACGATCTTATTTTTTTTAAAAAAAAAAGTATACATGTGTTGTGATTCACGACTCAGCTGCAATAATTTAAAAAAATTTGTTTTCTGTTACACCAAAATAAAATAAACAATAATCACATTTGTTACATCTCGGAGTTTGAATTTGGGGTGTATAACTCCTTCGAGACATGATTGAGTTTGCTTTGTAAAAAATGTGTTCTTCTTGATAATACTTGTGCAGAAAAAAGTTGTGATGAGATCTTTTTAAATTCAAGTCATATCCATGTAACTTGAAAAAAAATTTATATGGAAGACAATTTCGAAGTCGTAAGAAGTATCTATTCCCAAGTGTAGTCCTCCACTTCAAGTGAAGTTTATTTTTAAGTGTAGTTTTCCACTATTTCCCTTCATTTAAAAATAATGTCTCGCTTGAAGTTCCTCACTCACTTGAGAAAGATGTTTCTTCTTTTCTCTGTACATACCTACCTTATGCGTATAAATTTATTTATTAAATATAACTTATTAACGATTAGAGTGTTGTTCAAATCCAGCATTATCCATTTTTGCGGGAGGTTCCGATCATACTGAAGAATGGATGAGTTCCGAACTACAATTAATTTTAATTTAGATTTGCACATATCCACTTCCATAATTATGCCGAGGCTGAATCCTTTTATTATAGGTACAACAATCGTAGCTATCATGATAACCAAGGAAATACAATTACATTTTCAGCTGCTACGTACTACAGAACTAATAGATCAGTAAACTACATACATTATAATAATATTGTTGGTAATAACAACAATGGTAATAACAATCTTGATGATAATAATAGCAGTAGTGTCAATGACAACAATAGTATCAGTACTGATAATAATGATATTAGTAGTAGAGCTGGTGCAGATGATAAAAACGTGGTGATTTCGATAACGGGTATTATTAGTATTGTTATATAAAACCAAGTATATTTTTTTGTATATTTTTTATTATATACAGTATATGTTTATTTCGTTTATATATTTATATTTGTTTTTTTTTTCTTGTATATTAAAAAAGGTGGTGTTGGTGATTATTGATCTACAGTATTACTCGTAATTGAAAGTTGTGGCAAAAGAAAAATGGTTAAAATACCTTACAAAACGTTAGAAAAACTCATCGAAAGCACGCCAAGAAGAATTGAGACATGCATTTCTAATGACAGGTGGCCCATTAGATATTAGTCAAAAAAAAATATTCGTTTTTTTTTTAATAATAAAAAATACCGGAAATACAAAAAACATCAAATTTTATATGAAAACGAATAAGAATCTAGGCTATCTAATGTTAAAATTTTATGTATTCTTATTATGTAGCATTTTGCATAATTAACAAAAAACATCGTTCACAAACTTTTGTCCGGGTAGTGTATTTTATTTTGCATAATCGATTCTTCGAAATTTTGCTGTAGCGTATTATTTGATCTAATAAAATCTATTTGAATCCAATAAAACAAATAAGCAAAGGATATATTTATTATTTATCAATAAAGAAACTTTAAAGTATATAAATATGATTGTTTTTGGACTGAATGATGTATCAAAAAAAAATTTGCAATGTTAAAATCGTTAAACTTTATACATTTAATAATATTATTTTGAATAAATTCTTTAAAAAAAATGCTGTTTAAATTGACTACTACTTGTGTGATCGATTCAATCATTAACACCAGAGGAGCAAAATTATTTATTTAGCAATAAAAGCTATTTGTTTGTTTGTTAATATTAATGCATGGTTTCTATTCGTAATACAAATTTAGCTTTATTTGCTTTTATTTGAATTATTATTACTCGTTTTATTTGTTTTTATTTGTTTTATTATTCGAATTATTACTCGTTTATTCATTCGTTTTGTTCGAATTATTTTCCTAACTACTACTCAAGATTACGATATTATTTTAATACAAAGAGCTTTAGAAATAGTTAACCAATAACTTAATTACAATATAAAAGAACTATTAGTTTATTAAATTAAGCCAATAATTAACTAAAAAACAGGATTAATTTTAAAAGAATACCTGATAAATATTGTGATTTCATAGGCTTTTAGATTATATGATAAAAATACTAGGAATATTATTAACTTATCAGTATGCCTTATTTTTTTAAGATATCTACGAATTGATACCCCATTACCTAATTTGGCATCATTTCAACCAGTAAAAGCGAATGAATAGATAACATATAAGCAAAGAAAGATGGGACCCTAAATTAGCACAAAAGAATTTTAAATCATGCACAAACATAACAGCATTTTATTGTATATAATTAATTGTATATCTTTAATAAAACAAACATGACTTAGCTATTTAATCATTTCCTTGTATGTGAATGCCTCCATCCATCAAATATTCATGATTATTATCCAATACATTTGATGTTATAATTGACATAACAAACAATTGCATCACCCAAGTAATGATAATACCAAGGCCATACATAAATACAACTTTTAATAATGTGTGTCTACCCAGATCTCTAGTTTCACAAAATAAATTATTTTTCCTGATTATCAATTATAGTTTTTTATGAATAATAAATCTGATGTAAATTGCAAGTGTCAGATTTAATTAAATTTTCCTGTCACAAACATGTGGGTTAGGTGCTATCAGCACACCCCATAACCATGGGATTTTTCCTTCACAGGTGAGGGTACCCAATGTTGGTAGGCTTTGGAAAAAACTTCCCTTATCTTCCTCTCAGACCAGGCTTGGCTGTTACCATATGGGCATTGATCACCTGATAGCTAATACTAATGTTTGTGCGATACTTGCTTTGTGTTATAGTCCTCTCACTAAAATAAAGTTTGTGTCTGCAACCTAGGTTGCTGTCTATCTTAATCTACAGAACAGGTAACTAATTGTGCAAAAACCTATTCAGTCCCTACCTAAAATTATAAATTGGTTAGTATTAAAGAAACAGCCTTTCTCTTAACATCAGAGCCTAATTCCAATTTCAGGACTATCAACCCTGTTCTGAATTGTGACCTCATGTGCTTGAAATAAGTTACAAATTCTTGCTGCCTTGATGGATCTGGATGTTTATGCACACCTAATATCACAACTCTTCAAAATACAACTTGGTCACAGATCCATCCTTACCCTAGAGGTAGAATCGTTGCAGGCAACTTTCAGCCAGAATGCTAGCAGCCTCCTCTGGTCTGGGTACAGTGAGAAAGATTAGTGAAAGTGTCAGACAATTGATGCATTTTCAATATATCCCAGGGCTAATCCCCCCCCTGAAATTTAACAACATTGTATCATTAGAGCCATGACATAGTCAGATTAGCCTTTGTACAATGCAAAGAATGTGAAAGAATGTCTGTAAAGTGTTAAAGGTAGCATGCATGCCTCAACATCTGCTAATTTCCTGATAATCAAACATTGCATATTGAAATGTTTCTTCTGCAACAGTCAGTTATGCTGCCCTGACATCTTGTAATTATATATATATTTATATATATTATTTATATATATATATATAGTGTAAGGGGTCCATTTGTAAATAAAATGCAATATGCACCTTCTGACAAGGCCACACAGGAAAAAACCAATAAAATTGCAAGGAATTTATTCAGTCCACATCTTATCTGGATAAATTTCTTGGCTGATCGTTTCCAAGCCTTTCATTATAGAAGTACTGAATTAGTACAACTTTATATCAGACTTTTTCTAAAAACATTAAATGCATCCAGCACTTTGAGGTAATTATCTATTGTTTTGTGTTTGGGTATTGATAATAATATAAAAAAGTACTAATTTACTTTGTTATAATAGCAATCATACTCTATCACTTGAAGGAAGACTACAAATTCTTATTAACGGGTTTAAATTAATACAATCTCATCAATTGGAGGCATCAACTGAATATATTTTTCGTAGAAGCCTTTTTGGTTCAGCTTTTAATTGGTTTTCTTTGCCACCAAGGTTTGTTGATCTTAATGATATTTATATTAAATAAATTTTTGTTAAATAAAAAATTTTTACTAAAAAAAAAATAGATGGCCTTATGGTGGTAATAAAAGATGCATGATTATAGAGTATAAACTTTTAATTGAATTATACAAATTGGTGGAGATTGATAAACCTGAATTAAATGAAATTTTATCAGCTATACCAAAAAAATATTTACAATACAATTTATCAAATATCTCAACCTCTCTGATAGTAAATGGTGGTAAGATTATATGATTTTTTGATTAATAAGATCAAGTAGATTATTTTGAATTGTTGATGTTGATTATTGAGTATTTTTGTAATTTTATTACTTATACCATTTATTTTTACAGACAAAACTAAAGATGAAATACTGAAAATATTTTCAAAATCTAAGAAACTTTTACTTGTACTGCTTGAAAGTGAAATTGCTAATTTTGCAACTTGGATAAATCCATTAAATATTCCAAGCACTAATAAAGAATCAACTTCACCTAATGTTCTTTCAGACGTATTTATTAAATACATTAAAATTTTATTTATGAAAATTTAAATTTTTAGCATTTAATTGAATAATAATAATAACAATTATATTGTTACTGAATTATTTAAGGATTCTTGGCAAGATGTTGTCCAACATGCATGGTCAATTTCACCACGATTAGCGATCCAATTGGCCAATCGTTTCAAGCAAGTTGTGATTCAATCAGAATTACAAAAGATAATGACAAGTAAAATTATTGAAGCAGTCAATATATCTGAAGCATTGCCTTTATTGCTTGGTGATAAATTGAACCAGAATGTTCTACCACAATTAAAAGTAAGTTGAAATAAGATTTTTTAAAAAAAAAATTTATAATAGGAAATATCTTAATATGATTTTTATAAAAATTACAAATAGTACTTATTATATTGGGCACCTGTTCCCCCAATTACGGCAATCACATATTTTTCACCTGCTTTTAACAACAATCCCTTAATATTGCAATATGCAATGCGGGCTTTAGAGTATCATCCAGTTGATGTAGTATTTTTTTATATACCACAAATTGTACAAGCATTACGAAATGATTTTTTAGGTTAGTTCTTTTTTAATTAATTATTAACTAGATTAATTTCTTTTTTCATGATAAGACAAATATAATTTTAAATATACATCAGGGTATGTTGAGAGGTTTATATTGGGAGCTGCAAAAATATCACAATTGTTTGCACATCAAATAATTTGGAACATGAATGCAAACATGTATAAAGACGATGAATCAAATATTGTTAAGTTTTGAATTAATATATTTTACAGACATATATATATTCTCTTATACTATATTAATATTTATTTACTAAATTATAGCCAGATTCAATAAAACCAACATTAGAACGTATTATAAAAAACATTACTGATTCTTTATCTGGTAAAGATAAAGAATTTTATGAACGTGAATTTACTTTCTTCAATAATGTAACATCAATATCAGGGAAATTAAAACCATTTATTAAAAAATCCAAGCCCGAAAAAAAGGTAATTTCAACTGTATCAATTTAATTATATTTAATTATGACTTATAAACTTTTTTTATTTTAGAAAAAGATTGATGAAGAAATGGCCAAGATTAAGGTAGACGTAGGTGTATATTTACCAAGTAATCCAGAAGGAAAAGTAATTGGTATTGATTACACATCAGGACGACCATTGCAAAGTCATGCAAAGGTTAAGACAATTTTCAAAATTTTTGAATTAACATTATTTTCAAATTAAATATTTAAATAAATATATTATATCTTGTATAGGCACCGTTTATGGCAACATTCAAAATCAGAAAAACAAGACATGATTCAGAGGAAGTTAAGGAAGCATTAATTCATACTGACAGCAAAAATGAAGAACAAACAATAGATGTCTGGCAATCGGCCATTTTTAAAGTTGGTGATGATTGTAGACAAGATGTGTTGGCTTTACAGTTAATAGCCATATTTAAAAACATATTTACAAGTGTAGGACTAGATTTATATCTTTTTCCATACAGAGTTGTTGCAACAGCTCCAGGGGTAAATAAGTTATTATTATATGGGTTTTTTTATAAAATTAAACTTTTTTTCATTGTATTAAAAAATATTGAAATTATTTTTAGTGTGGAGTTATTGATGTTATACCTAACTCAATATCAAGAGATCAATTAGGTCGAGAAAAGGTTAATAGCCTTTATGAGTAAGTTTTTCTTTTTATCAATCAATTATACAATATAAATAAATGATATTTTACCTTGAGATACTTACAACCTTTAATAAATAGTTATTTCCTTACTCGATATGGTGGTTTAGACTCTATTTCATTTCAAAAGGTAGTTAGGCTTATCAAATATGTTTGAGAATAATATCACATGTTTAACATTACTAATTAAATTTTAATAGGCAAGAAATTGTTTTATCCAAAGTGCAGCAGCCTATTCTGTTGTTTCATTTCTTTTGCAGATTAAAGATCGCCATAATGGAAATATAATGTTAGATGATGAAGGTCATATAATACATATTGGTAAGTGGTAGCTGATTCTGATTGGTAAATTATAATTTTTTAATTTAAGATAATTGAAGTTAAATCTTTTTTTTTTTTTGAGAAAAGATTTTGGATTTATCCTTGACATTGCACCAGGTGGTATTACATTTGAAAGTTCACCATTTAAACTTACAACAGAAATGATCCAAGTAATGGGTGGTGGTACAGAAGAACAACCATTTAAATGGTTTTCTGAATTATGTATTAAAGCATATTTGTCATCAAGGTCAAATATTTTTACTTAATAATTTTTTTTATATTCTTTTTTAATTTCTTACAATTTAACAATATTTTTGTTAATTCATTATTTACAGACCATATGCTGAACAGATAATGCAGTGTGTTGGCTTAATGCTTAGCTCAGGACTCCCTTGTTTTAGAGGTGAAACATTAAAAAGATTATGTGATAGATTCCAATTGGATCGAAATGAGCGTCGTGCTGCAGATTTCATGATTGAAAAGATCAATCAATCATTTGGAAATAAAAGAACAGTTTGGTATGATAGTTTCCAGAAAGCCACGAATGGTAAGTTATTAATAATCTATGAAAAAAAGTGAATAAATATTGAAATTTTGCCTAACCTTTTTTTAATACCTCCCCTTATAGGAATTCCATATTAATTATTTAGATGTAAACATTTTCTTATTGATTTTTTTAATATTAGAATTTCTTTTAATTTATTTATAAATTCAGACATTTTTCCTCCCCTGTTGAATCAGCTAGTTTGTTTAAATAATAAATAATAATTGTATCAACTTGATATCCTGTAAACCCCCATTTACATATAATTAATAATTCATCAGATAAATTTAAAGTTGATATTGTGTATTAATATTAATATTCAGTGCAAAAAAATCAGAATGTACGGAAAATTCCCTGAAAAATACATTCTATAATAATAATTCCTATAACATTTTCCCGAAAATTTCATGCTATTACTAATCTACGGTGCAGATCATCTATAATCATTAATTGCTTATAGTAACAATTGGTCAACTTCAAAATACTAAAACAAAAAAAA